TATGCCAGAAATGTAATTAAAAATTCTGCTCATTCGATATTGTCTATGATATATTTTTAGATTATATATATATATATATATATCGAAACAGTATAAGAATGATAATATATATTATGTATTAAAAAATACTATATATAATAATATATTTTTTTTGGGGGAGGGGGAAGTTATTATACAAAAACATCATAAGCAATTGCACCAAAACACACTTTTTTATATATAATTCCGACTAATCAGACCAATATTTTTTATAGAATATTAATTCTAATTTTATTATTAAACTTTGGTTATATCCGGTGTTTGTGTTTTGTTGTCCAATAAATTCGGATACTACTAGTTCGGATACTACTAATTCGGCTCTAGTTATAAGTTTGCTGGAATTGATTATGATTTTTTACTGGTGCATGAATAATATTGCGTTTATGCAAATTATGCTTTAGTTGCAGAAGAAATTAGATATTTTTTGCTATTCTAGTTTGCTTATTCATTGAAGCGTTAATGTGAAGTGCTATGGAAGAGTTATTTCACTAGAAGGCGGATCCTCGATTAAATGTACGTCGCTTCATTGTATATTTGGACAACATTTTTTCTATTTATTCTTCGAAAATATTGTTTAATTCTATTGGCCCTGTAAATTTAAATCTTCTTACCTGTTTATAGCATAATTCTGTCCTAATTTGTCTTTGTCCTGTTTGGATGCCAATTTAAGATTTTCTTTCCTAGAGGTCCTTCCATTTTTTTGGTTTTATAATAAAATTGGTCCTTTTATTTCTATTTATAAACCCGAGTACTTTAGCTTTACGTTGATAAACACACCCTGCAGCAATCTGACTGTGTGCCCATACAGCAGCCACACTAGATCCATTCATAATTACACAGATCTGTCCCAGATCAGCTCCTCTATAGAAGATGTTTTAGAATCTAATCCCAGTACTCTCGTCATCTTTATTGCTCATTCGCTCCAGACTCATATCAAGCAGGGTCCAGCAGCATTCGGATTAGGCTCCTCGATTTCGGATACCTGGGAGATGACCCGAGATAAGTCTGTTCGATGGAAGACGACGGAGGAGACTATGGGCCTATATCCAGGCCGAATGTAATATCACATGGAGAAATAATGCGAAGGTCGGATTATGTAGGATAAATGAACAGAGGGAAGAAAGCTGTCCTAGTTTCCGCCGGAAGTGAAGGAGGCCGTTTTTAGGCCTTCGATGACGTGAACGCTACAGTAAAAAAAAACTGAGGCTCGTCGACTAGCAATCCATTCTCATCATCTGGTTGATTGAGTCTACAAATCTCTTCATCACTCACCTGATTTAAACAATTTTGTAAGAATTTTTAATCGTACTTATAAATTGGATAGTCGCAACGTGTTTCGTCTCTTCGCTTACTGATCCGTACTCGGGCCATCGGCTTGTGGTCTGATCTACCTTCACCTCGTCCCACTTCATACCTCCTTCCATATGCCAAGCCGTAGAGATCAGAGCATAACCTTAGAAGTAACTTACTTTCTCGGCTCTTGGTGGCACTTTTGCGGGGCTTCTCAGACCACTGACTCTGTCCTGCATAATATGGCCATGACAGTGGGAATAGGGAATTCCCAACACACTACGGGTCTCTTCGAATATCTGAGGCCGTCATACAACCTTCCCCCTCAACTTCCCATCTGGGATATGTTCTAGGCTCCAACCGGGTCTCATTCCTTTGGTATCAGTCCTCCCTCATCGTTATCTGGCTCTATATCCACCCCCATGATTCTTTCTCTCAGTCTCGCTTTCTCACTCTCTCATTCTCAAACGCCATCAAATTGGATGCTGGTAGGCCGATATCTCGCGAGATCTGCAATTGGAATCCTAATAAGTAATAGTGTTTGTTCGAGTTGATTTTCGCAACTTGCCAGGAATACTTTGTGAAAAGTACACATTCATGTTGCCCCAGTTACTTGGGGATGTACCAAATCAATGGTCCAGGCCTGGAAAGCATGAATTCTATGGAAGAGGCCGAATGACTAGATACGTTCCACAAGGTCTACCTGATTTACCAAACAAACTGCGAAAACGAGGTCGAAACTATGCTATGAATCTAGAGGAGATTGCTACCAAAAAGAATGGCACACCTTCTTGGTATTTATATCTATGAGCCAATAAGTAATGCCTAATTCGATTTTATTTTCAAATTAAAGATTAACTGAAAAGGTCTGAGGATTCTACCCGCGATGAAGTGAAGAGGAGACCTGATTTGGCCACTCACCTTTACTGCTTTACGCGTTAATTAATAGGCTTCTTTGCCCAGATTAAGCTACAATTTCGGCAAAGTCCCACAATCAAGCCGCAGAGTTACAGGTTCGCAGGCAAATACGGCAGTTGACCGGCGAGATAAACCATCTCAAATCGCATCGCTCCGTCGGTTTGCTAGCAACTTTAATTGGGTTGAGGTAAGAACTTTAGGCGGAATTGAAATTTAACTGCCCGTCGTTTATCACCTTAGACTAAATAGCACGAATACGTATCAGCATTTTAGTCATTGAAAGAATAATAGCTGAAGTTATTCACAATGATAATATCTAAGCCTACTTGCTATGAATATAAGTAACGTAATCAATTATAATGGCAAAATATTATTTTCCAAAAGTCTCTGAACTGATTCATTTTGAAAATAGCTTAAAAAATTGGAAGTGGTTTACAATTAAGGATATTGAGACATCGTGAGTAAGCTGGAGATTAGGGAATCTATATAAATTAATTTTATAAAATCTTCGTAGTGAATATGAGAACGAGTGTAGAAAAGTAAGCAAAATCAACCTCTGGATGTTGGATAGAATTAGGTAGAGAAAGAGAGTGGAACCAGCCAGAGAATCTCGTTTGTGTTGTAAAACATCAAATTACTTAAAAATAGGGAACATTTATCCACAAGCTTAAAACATGCATTAGAATTGCGATATCATACACTGAT